TGGTGTTATAAATGTCATTCTCTCTTTATGCCTTCCCACCCTATGCACTAACTGAAGCAGGGCACCCCTAGGCAAATAATAGGCTATCATGTAATTGTACACTGTATCATAATGTATTCCCTCTAGAAGGCAAAATTAAAGATACATTTACTTTCATGGGAAGAAAAAAGCAAGTAATGATGGTGAAGATTTTAGAAGCCTACATTTGTCAAGAACAGAGAATTAAAAGGCTTTTAGCAAATGGACTTTTTCTAACTGGTAAAAGTATCATATTGATATTCTCCACAGTTACAACTCCAGCACTGGTAGCAATAATGGAAGTGATGTTAGAAGTAGGGCTCAAGGCACTGAAGCTCAAATTGCTGTCATCACCAAGGGGAAATGCTACATCTAATTGTAGATTCTCAAACAATCAGCTAGCCTGTTTTAGCCTGATGACCCATCAAGATTCAATACTGAATTAAGTAGGATTTTCTGGAAATAATCTGTATATAAATTCTTAATGTGACTTCTGGAACACACTGTTCAGATCTTGTCCTCTTTACATTCAGTTTTTGAATTACTTTTTGTAGTATCGTATGGCATTTAACAAAGAACATATTTAATGATCAGAAGATGTAATTTTGTACAGGTTCGCTTTAGTAGAAACACACGCATGCTGACATCTAAGAGGACATCTCACAAGACCTTGTATTCGCAATTACCTCAGTTGTCTCAGTTTCAGAATGAAAATAAGCTAAAGCTTTTCACTAAGCAGATTTCTGTTCCTCATTCTAGTAGGTAATTAATTTAAATACTAATAAATTATCGTCAATTTTTATCTTGGTCCTGTTGCTGCAATAACAAATCAATTCTCGGTATTATTCAAAGGGTACTTTCAGATACAGACCTACTTATCACCAAAGGCTGGGAGTATTCCAATTGTACATTTTGGTTCACGTTTATTTCCAGTAATAATATTAACTACACTACTCAAAACTAAATTGCACAAAATTGGAATTTACCTTCTAAAATACGCAATTCCCATATGCAGCCACTGGATGGACTTATGGAGCCAGTGAATATTTGTTGGTTGTAGACAAGATGCACAATTAGGTGAGCAACTGGCAAGAACTTTCCCTTCTGGGCAGTAGGGGAACTTTTCTGTAGAAAAGGCTTGAGCCTAAAAAGCAAGGTACAAGAAGGGATTTTAGCCTCTCCTCTTCAATCGATCCTTATTTTTCAACACAATTAGTTTAAGAAAAACTAAGCTGTGGAAATGAAACAAACAGAGTGATAAGAAAATTAGTTTGTAGGAGAACATACAGGTCAGTTCCAAATGTGATAATTTGGCATTAAAGTTTTAGGGTAAAAGCACTAAGAATTGTACTGAAAAGAAGCTAGGGGATATTTTGATAGCTCAGTTTGCAAACAAAAGCAGATCATAGTTATTTAAAGATCTGCTTAATTTTTAAAACGTATGCTACTTTAAAATGCTTATATTCTTTAAGAATAAATTAGGAAAGTATTTGCTCAAGCTATCTTACTTTTTTCTGGAATAGGAACCATACGAAAGTTTGAATCACTCTGCATAGCAAGTGTAAAACAAGCCCTGCATTAAGTAAGAGTACAATCATCCATGAATATAAAAATTTTATGTCCTTTTTTATTACAGCTGGCTGTTGTAATTACTTCTGAGTATTCTGAGTGTATTATATTTAACTATAGTACAATCTATTTAATGCACTTTTTTAGACCAGTTACCATTTCAGTGTATAGAGCAGTGATAAAGTATATTTGTGCTTCCATACCCTGTGTTCTGCTGTTGTGTAGCTAAAAGAAGTAGTAGGCATCAGCTGTAGCAGGCAAACTCAGCAAATTCACCTCAAAGAAAGCCCAAGTAAATAGGGTTGCTGTGGGGAGAACTAAGTGAAGTTGGGGAATGAAAGCATACATGTATGAGCCTAGGAGAAAGAAGAGCTGTTGCATAAATCTCTCCATACCTGATGTTCTAAATCTATGGGCAGTGACTAGCATGGCCCCTTCACTCCCCCTCTGCAGATACACCCAGTTACAGGATCTAAATGTGGATCGCGTGGTTTTATCATTTTATCTGACTGCCATCACCCTATTCTGTCCCAAACAATTCAGAATGGCACCAAACCTAACTATAGTTGAGGTTGCTCTGCATGCCTGAATTTCTTTTGTCTTTGTACTGTGAAGGTCGTATGCAGAGTCTGTAGTGAGTGAACGTTCTCTGACTCTTTATTTAATTGCATGGGATAGTCTTACTGGGTACCTATTATAGCCAGGATGAAGGAGATACGGTTAAAAAAAGCATGTGAGCAGGGAAGGAAGGCTGGGTCAGGTTCAGTGCTACTGTCTATTGCTTTCAGTCCTCTTCTGGAACAAGACATGAAAGGAGACTATAGACACGTCTCAGTTAACAACCTCTTTCTGGTCCTAATTCACTTCTTAACCATGTACAACTCTCTGTGGATAAAACAACACCTGCAGAAAAACCACTCTGGATCTCACCAATATTTTGCTGCTTTCTACCATATTCGGTAAATTCCTGTTATTTTTTAGAAAAGCAAACAAAGCCTGATATAAGGCCCAAAACAAACCAACTTAGCAGCCACATTTAAAGTTATGCATGCACTTTAACACCATTCTAAGTCAGGAGCTAATAGCCATGAATTAATTGCCTGTGATGATCACACAGGCCATGGAAGAGGATGGAATGACACCTCTTACAATTACAATAATTATGGTGCCCATCACTGGACACGAAATGCATGCAACGTGTCTCTGGCATGCCAGAGCTCCTGAATGCCATATGCTGTCCTGACCTCAGATGGGGGAATACCATCTGGTAGAGAAGCCCTGCAGTTGGCACTGCAGGCTCCTGTCTCTCCCTCCCCACTTCCCACCCTACCCCTCTGACAATTACAAAAACAGTGAGCTTGCAGGAACGAAGTCAGGCTACAAGAATATTGAATAACTGAGTCAGAGACTAGGAATGGGGCTGGCAGCTCTAGAGCCTGCCTGATATATATCATTGCCTAAAAGCAAAATTGTGCCAAATCAGGTTCTCCTGTACCTCTCACTAGGCAATGAGATCCCCTCCCTATTCTCCCCACTGCATACAGTGTCCTGCCACAGGTGTGCGCCTCCCTGCTAAAATCCGCCTGGAAAACATCATACCTCAGCCAAGAATGCTTCCCCCTGCAAAGCCCCTGAGCACGACTTGCTATTCTTGGCTTGTTCTGACCTCCTTTAATTTCCTGACCTTGTTCTGGAACTAGGTGTTGGTCCGCTTTTAATCACGCCAGACCAACCAAACAGCAATCTTCTCATACCAGTGCTGATTTAGAAAGCCTTTGCTAAGCTGCTGCACTGGGAATCTTCCACCATACAGAGATTAGGTCACAGACTTCCTTCCAGGGTAGGTGGCACCATAAGCTGCCAGCTCCAAGCTAGGACAGTAAACTGGGTGGGGCAGCATCCTAATATTACAGAGGACAATGTAGACAGAGCCTATGGAATTACTAGTACCACTAATCTAACCACCTACATAAGCAAAGCAAGTGAATCATCTACCTTACTGGTCTATCAGGCCTCAGACACGCATATGATACTGGATATATAATGGTGGACTGGCTCACATGAATTAGATTTTTAAAGTGCTCCTAAATTACATGTTACAATTCAAGCTACTTAAAGACACATACTCTGTTTGGGAGTGGTCCTCCTTCAGACAGCAAATCTAAGTAATTAATTTATTATTCTAGATGAACCACTGAATATGAAACTGTTTATTCCTACAAATAGAATATTTGTTTAAAGTTCTAAAACCAAAGAATTGCAGGATAATCTCATTATTCTACCACTATGTCAAACTTTTCAAATCTACTCTAGTTAGAAAATATGAAGCAAATATCTATACCTATAACATTGCTTTTAAATAAAGCTCTGTCAGGCAATTAGTTGCTAGATCCACAAATGACAAAGCTGATGCAAAGCTCTGAATCTTTTCACTCACAGATTGTTTGGTAAATTGCTTTATTTGCGTTGGATGCACTACTAAAATCATTCAAATTAGTAACCAATCTGTTCCTGTTACTGTACACCTGAAAGTGTAATAGCAAATCTGTCCTATTACAGCCAAATGACAAATATCAGAGAAAATGTTGCCAAGACTGCCTGGTTTGTGTGTGTTGAGGCCTGTGGATTCCCACCTGTTCTGTGCAATGCCACTGTGTATATTATGTCGCAGCACAGGCTAAGCACAGCTTGGAACACTGTACGTGTGGGTGACATATGACATTCAATATGAATTCCCCTCACTTAATTAACATCATGTACTTTCTTTGACACACAAAAATTTTAGTAGCATATTCTTAAAATTTAGAAAATTGGCTTTGATTTCTCTTTGGGCATTCGTGTGTGCCATTCTGAAGAAGTAACAAGATTACAGTACTCACATTGCTCAACCCTGACATTTGAAATGTCTAAACCTCGTGCCAAATTATTTTCTGCATATCCAAAGTGCTTGCGTATACTCATGCTGATAGGTATTTCTTCTCTACTGACATTTCAGTGTTGATTTCAGATTAACTTTTTAAACGCATAAAGACTATCAGTACATGTTTCCATGTGTTCTGTAACCTATTTCTACTCAATTCAGAGTTTAATTTCTGACACCCCACACACAGACTTTGCTCGTTGAAAGCAAATATACATGCAAATATGAAGGAAGATGGAATTTGAAAGGAAAAATAATAATTTGCAATTCCTGAACAACAGATGAAAAAATTGATAAACCTTCTATCTTGGAGAACACCTGCTTTTATTTTTGTATAATCAAATTCCAAAGCCAGAAGTTGGTAACCACAGACTTCTCTCCCCACTAGCAAATGTGTATCCAGAGCTAACCAATTAAGTTCAGAGGCACGCTCAGCGAAGCAAGTCCTGATCCAGAGGTAACCCTACCCCTATTTTGCTAGTCTTCAGTGCTCTAAGACTCCTTGTACTGTGTCCCAGCTATCCGTGCCTGACTTTGATCCTCACTGCTTCATAATGAGGTATGTCTTTTTATGAATTGGTTCTTCATTTAAACTTATGAAAATGAGGTGTGAGATGTGAAACCGTGTTACGCAGTGTACTTTTCACTCGGAAATGTGAGTCTCGCACTGCTTGCTAATGTGCAGATTGCATGCCACAAATCCACCCTCATTAGACATCCAATCCAACCCTAATGAGGGAATGGATTCCTTCAAAAGGAGTGGGGAGAACAATGTGGGGTATTAATTTCACGTACCAATATGCACTGGTATGTACCAATATGCACACTAATTTCATGTACCAGTATACATTTTCCCTATCCATGATTCAGAGCCTCTGGATGAGCTCAGAGCTAACGGTGACTCTGAAAATCAGGGGAATAGTCTTTATACGTACACTTGAGACAAAGATTGATGGAAACGGATGCCACATTTACATAGGGAAGATGTACATTCATGTGTGTGGTAATTAAAGAGGAATATAGTGGTCTAGCATACATTACAAAACTCATAGTACTAATAGAACGGAGAAGCGTACTGTGATCTTTTTCATAATATATTGTTCTTGCATTAACGAGTTCAGTGATTTCTAAATATAGCAGTATTCTGTAGCAGCACTACTTAGATAAACTGGAGTGGCAATGTTATTTAATCTAAGAATAGGAAAATGCTTCTCCCTAGAATTACCTAAAGACTGTAACTGTGGTTTAACAAGCAGCTTAAGGCAATCTAAGTTTGCACAGTTGTGGAAAGCAGCCATCCTGTCCTCTCCTCTCCTCTCCTCCATCTCTGGCTGTAAGTTTCTGCTCTTCCCTTGCCAGGGCACTATGCTGTAAACCAACACTATGCCATCACATAGCCATAAGCTACCTTACAGCTAGCCAGCTCAGAGAACACTCAAACTCAGTGACAATTTGTACAGAGGTCTTGGGTAGCATTTCAGTTAGATATTAACGAGGTGTGAGTGAGTCTGGAATCCAGAGATCCATTTTCATGCTTAAACTCCTGGCACAGTGGATGCCTGCATGCCTCCTGCATGAAATCCAAAGCAACTAGAGAGCTGATCAGGAAGCTGCTTGAAGCCACTGTCTTAAGAAGTACTTGCCTACAGTGGGTCAAGAGGGAAATCTCAGTGCAGGGCTGTAAATGCTCTGTTCCATCTACTTGTGTGTCACCATGCAGAATTTCCAGAAGGAAGTCAGGACAGATCATTGTCCTCTGCTAACGTGACCTAGCAGGGGAGAACACCATGGTGATGTGATCTAGCAGGGGAGAACACCATGGTGATAACACGCTGATTTACAAAATGGTATTAGTCCTTGGTCACAGGCGGGAAATTTGGCCTAATTCCTTCCTTGGCCAAATGCAGTTAAACACAGATCTCTCTGAGGTGTGCTCTGGTCATCAGGCTAACATTTTGCTCTTGGATGAGAGCTGGAGTAAACTAAATGGTCAGGCATTTGTGGTACTTGAAGTTGTGCCACTTGAAGAGAAAAGGGTAGTCAGGCTCATTGGGCAAGATAGGAAACATGACACTAATCCTTTAGTGTGAAAAGAAACAAAGAAAGAACACATCTTAATGACATGATGACCAATTGTAGGTATGGGAAACACAGCTCTGCATCTGAATGTAGTGGGGGGGAAAGATTTAGCTTTCTTACATGTGAGCTGCTAATTACTGTCAATTAAAAACAAAACAAAACAAAAAACCCAACCCAAACCACAGATTTGTCTTATAAAACTTTAAGAGTCTGGTCTTTTTTTCATGCATCCAGATGGAAGCTGCATGTGTTACACATTAATTTACTTTATCAAGCCTGCAGTTTCTACTGCAAGGTACTACTAACACAGAAGCCCCTACTTCCATCTATGCAAAGTTATGTAAATAATGATGAACAATGGCAGGTATTTCTAAAATGTAGCTTACATGACTGTTTTTTCACTGTCTCAGCCAGAATGCCTCCAGGTCAAGTAGCAGAGATGCATGCCATAGCACCATCTGTCAGACTTTTTGAAAAGGTACAGACATTTCACCATTCCTATTTTTTTGGTTCTTCTTTCCTGAATTGTACAAAAGAGTGATGAGGCTACAGAGCAATTTCTACTTCTTTCCCCTCCTTTGGGCTGCACTCATGACATTTTTAAGATGCTTCCAATTGTTAATACCAAGGAGCACAAAGTATGTATTGCTGTTATAAAGACTGTAAACAAGGAGTCTTCTTGAAATCCTGTGTCACGGGCCTTCTGACATCTTTCCACATACATCATGCACAGGATTTTCATCCTCAGCCTTAAAACCAATTAAAGCAACCTGAAGACTATTTCAGATTGGACTGTCCTGCTAAACTAGTATCGCTGCTGCTCTTTACCTAAGAGTCTTTTTATGAGTCACCAGTCAGGTCAGCTAAACTCTCAGTTCAAAGAGCAGGAGAATCAGCTACCATGTCCTCACATTTCCACGGGAGCTCTCACATCAATGTAGAACACCTCACTTACATTAATTCCCAAGTGCAAATCAATAGAGAGGATACAGAAGAAAAGAGCAAGTATTAGCCACAAACTCTGCTGATCACCAGATTTGTATTGAAAAGACAATCATAAACTGCCTGTTCTAGTTAAAGACTGCATTCAATAACGGAGCTTTGTTTCCTTTTGTTTTGGAGAGTGAACATCAGTTGCAATATGTTATTTCTAATCCACTTCCACAACATAGAGTAAGAAGATATTTAAGCAGGGAGACTAGGCTGTATCAGCTGCTCTTTGAAGCAGTCTATAAAAAAGGAATTGCAGCTGCCATAATGAGGTTACACCTGTATTCCTGGCTGTAAAATGTCTGGAATTCAATCAGATCTGAACTTTGCAGAGTGTTTGCATACGTGGGTCAGTTCACAGTTCTCTGCTCTCTGGACAGACCAAGACAGCATGGCTTGCTCCCCTTTGCAGTTAGAAGAGGAACTGGCTTTCTTTCTAAATAAGTACAACTTTTCTACCTATCTTCTTAGCAAAATTGTCATTAATGGACAGCTTGGGACTCACTGATTACAGCCATAAACAGCTACCAAGCCTGATGCAATTCTGCTGTATTTAAAGAGATGATTTGTGTATTTCAGAGTACTACATCTTAAATTTAGACTTACAGCCAACCCATCAGCATAAGAGGAGAAAGACAGACAGAGAACACCCCAAATTTAGTGGCTATGGCTAAAGCACAAGGCAGGACACTGCAAGTTGTTTGCCATATCTGCGAGACATTTTACAGGTCTGAGTCTGAGAAAGAAACAGAGACCGCTGAGGGTGGCCAGGTGGCTGGCTGGTGGCTGGGAAGCGCTATGGCACCCTAAGAACAGCTGAGAGGGTATTAGTGATACTGCAGCATCTGAGAACACAAGGAAATGTTTTCTAAAATAATCTGTTTTAGCTGGGCAGGAGGAAGTAAAGGGAGCTGTTTTCTTCTGAATCTGCTGCTCTTGCGAGGGCCTCCTTCTGATTATTCTCTTCTAACCGTGATCTACTTCAGACCAAGAAGTAGATATAATCAGCTATATATGGGACTCCTGCAGTTAAGAAATCTGCCATTTCTTGCAGCACAGCTAGAGGCATAGAAAATTTAGCTGAGATGTGAGATTTTATGATCGTATTAGCAAATATCTAAGTACCACTGAAGACACACATTATATAAATGGGATGGAATGGAACTACTGATTGTAGGAGCAGCAGAAGGGAGGAGCACAGGTACAAATTACGACAAACACAGCTATACTGATGTGTGGAGGACTGTAGTCTTGTCAGACCGGCAGAAGATTATTTCTCCTCCCCATTGCATTTTGTACAGAGGGAGAAACAGAACTTACGTACCCATGATGACATATCTCCAACTGGGCTTCTTTAAATTAGAAATGTCTCTGATAGCAGAAATAGAACTCCTGATTTTTCTTAGGCAAGAATAATTTTTAAATGTTCTTGCACTGAACAACCTTTTTGTAAAAAATATAAAATGGCTTTTATGAAATCAAAAGCAGAGTATGAAGGGTCACACAGTGAAAGTATTTAATTTTAAAACTCTAGTTGTACTTCGTTTTCCAAGTTTAATTATCAAAAACTGCTAGGATCGTACTAGAAGGAGCAGAACTTTTTTTTTAATAATAGATCAAATTTCCTCTTTTAATAATTCTTTTCCTTAAAAGAGGCTTTTTTCTCTTCTTCTCATGTGTGGAGCCTTTAATTAGTCTGTTCAGACACAAGCAGTATTAGCTAGACTCTGTCACAATTACCCACATTTGGTAGCTAATTACTCCTTGAATAGTCTTAAGGCTACCAGCAATTTTAGTACAATTGGCAGCCTGGGGCCCCTAGGAGCTGTTCCAGCAACCAAGAATAGCTGGAACAGAGAGGCAGGCCAGCCATGACCCTTTCTCCTCAGCCACAACCTAACATATCTACTATGCTAAAGGCAAGAGCAACACAAAAATGAAAATATTCCCAAGTGGCTAAATGTGCTCCCTTTATGGCCTTTTTAAACTAATGGAGTAGCATAAAGGGACTATGGGGAAATGGAAAATAGGACCTTTTAAATGCTAAAGCACTGGCAGGACTACTAATGATTTTTCAGTTTTCCAATGTTCCATTAAAACGACAGTACAAAACACTTACATGGGATCAGATTCCGACACAAGACTTTTATTCTACTGTAGTTTTAATCACTGATGCCTCATATTGCAGTAATTTACATCACTGCAATATGAGTGTCAAGTGGGTATAAAATGCTGACTTGATTTAGTAACATTTCATATGTATTTTACACAGGTAGTAATTACTTCACAAGAGACACAGCAGTGTCAGTGATTTCAGTAAAATGA